CCCCCCCGCCCCGGTGGAATGGGGAAGAGAATCAGAAGGGTAAAAGTGAGAAAACCCATGGGCTGAGATAAAGACAGTTTAATAGGTAAAGCAAAAGCCACGCACGGAAGCAAAGCAAAACAAGGAATTCATTCTCCGCTTCCCATTAACAGGCAGGTGTTCAGCCATCTCCAGGAAAGCAGGGCTCCATCATGTGTAACGATTACTTGGGAAGATAAACGTCATCACTCTGAACATCCCCTGCTTCCTTCTTCTTCCTCCAGCTTTATATGCTGAGCATGATGTCATATGGCATGGAATATCCCTTTGGTCAGTTGTGGTCAGCTGTCCCAGCTGTGTCCCCTCCCACCTTCTTGTGCACCCCCAGCCTCCTTGCAGGTGGGGTGGGTTGCGGAGCAGAAAAGGCCTTGGCTCTAAGCCCTGCTCAGCAGTAACTGAAACATCCCTGTATTATTAACACTGGTTTCAGCCCAAATCCAAAACAGAGCCCTGTACTAGCTACTGTGAAGAACACTAACTCTATCCCAGCCAAAACCAGCACAACAAGACGAGGGACATTCTTGAGTCAACAATGTCTGCATCTGTGAAAAACGATAGATCAGAAATGCTAATGTCACTTAGGAATCTCCCACAAATCTTCTACACCTCCTTTTTGTTTGAGGACACTCCATCACACTCAAGGAAAATATCTATCACAGCAGTAGAGGCCACAGATGTACAGTGAGGACACCTGAAAGCAGAGATCTTACTGCATTGCAAAGTTTTTGAGAAAATGCCCGTAATACTCAGCAGACAGGCACTGACCTGTCTTTACGTCTCAAATAAGAAAAATGTTTGTGGAGCCCATTTCCCCAGATGGCTTTCCTATAATACTCTGAATATCTGTTACACCTGACGGTGGTAGGTAAATGTATCATCTGCAAGGGCAAACTGGCAACCTTCTGACGTTGTGAGGAAAAAAAAGCACTAGGACTTTTTAGTTATTTATTACATACCTGTATTTGTAGTCATTAAAGCTCATTTGCTGAGCTTTTAGTTTGGAAATCAGCATCCTGAGAATTTTTAAGAAGATGCCAAAGTTAACCTTGAAAGAAAATACATATGGGTTACTTACAATAAATTATACAACCCTGCTTATATAACTATTAAAGAAATGTAAAATTGGTATTAAACACTTGTAAAACCTGTCACTGAATAACCAGAATGCAGCTGTGACCAGCTTCAGCAGAGAGCACAGAGCAGCAATACTCTGCTGGTATCAACTCTCTCCAAATGAGGCGGTTAACAGAGTTTATATACTTTTAGGACATACAACACTTTACCAAATCATAGCAACTAGGCAGGATGTGATAAAAACCAGCAGTGACTGCAATTCTTTACATAAAGAGACTCTAGGCAGCCAGACAAGGAAGCCCTGGGCATTTTTTTATGAATAATTCTTTCTTTTGTTAATTAAATTATACTGACTTAGCCAAGACCAATGTGCAAATATTTCCTTTCTAATGAGGCCTGCAAATGCCTATAAGTCATTAACTATTTCACTTCCACAAACCAAAAGCCCTATGCAAAAAAGTTATTAAGCTTGCAAAGTTGAGATACTTAACATTGCCTTATTCAACCTGATTTATGTATATGTTATGATATATGATCTTCCAGTAGATGATCTTCCTCATTTTGGGGATGGACAATTATCCAGGACTACTTTTCTTGTCTTATTTTGATGTGTAGGTATTACTGCTGGAACCCTAGTTCTTGTTCTGTGTAAAAAATCGAACACTTTTCATGCTGTTCTCCCCAAATGTGCACAGATGTATCTTTAAAACATCACAGGGTGATAAATGGATATTATTCCCTTAAAAAAAAAAAAAAAAAAAAAAACCAACCCTAAAGCATAAATAGATGGAGGTCCAAAGTGTAAGATGTCATCAGTTAGAGGTGCTTTGGTTTGATTTTGTGGAGCAATTAACACGAACATTATGTTACTGAGAACATCATACTTGTTACTTCAGCTGCAACTGGAAATACTCAATCCTTATCCCATTGGCTGTCTGGACATTCAGAAAGCAAAAACCAGAAAGTAGTAACCAGTTGTGATATTTTGCCTAGCATTGTGTTTGAACTTGGGGACAGAGACAGAGTTGGAAGGCCATTTTCTGGGGCAGCATTGAACTACCTTAAGCTCAGGATCATCCTTTTTCCTCATGAAGCACCCTCTTGTCATTCGCACATCTCTGTTATTAATATGAATGTCTTGCAGATTGTGCCCTCCAGTTTTATTCTGCAGCAATAGTTCATCTTGTGGGAATCTCTTTGGACAAGTTAGGGGAGATATAGATGTACATATGTACAAGAGGGGGTGAGTCACCTTTAAAATGGATGATGCTACTGGTATTTCCTAGCTTTTAGAATTGGACTTCTCCTTTTACTAGAATTTTTTGGTTTTATAAATACAAAAAATTCATTGTAGTCAACACTGTAAGGTTCTTCAAAAGTAAAGCTGGCGAGCATTTGCCATCTAAACGTACTTTTGTCTGGAAAATTTGGTTTATTCTAAAAATGATTTTCCAGTATGAACTTGTGCTTTTCACAGAAAACACTAAAACTTCATTGAAAATGACTGCCATCAAGTTGAAATATTTTTACTCTAGATGTTTCATAGAAAAGACAGAATTTTTCACTAGAACATGGAAGCAAAATCACAAAATCACAGAATGGTTAAGGTTGGCAAGGAGCTCTGGAGGTCACCTTGTCCAAACCTCCTGCTCAAGCAGGGCCACTTAGAGCAAGTTTCCCAGGACTATGTCCAGATGGCTTTTGAATATCTCCAAGGATGGAGGCTCCACAACCTCTCCAGGTAACCTGTGCCAGTGCTTGGTCACCCTCACAGTGAAAAAGCATTTCCTGATGTTCAGAGGAAACCTCTTGTTTCAGTTTGTGCCCATTGCCTCTGGTCCCGTCACTAAGCACCACTGAACAGAACCTGTTCCTCTGTCTTTGCACCCATCGCTCAAGTCTTTATATACATTGATGAGATCCCCTTGAACCTTCTCTTCTCCAGGCTGGACACTCCTTGCGCTCTTGGGCTTTCCTTGTGGGAGAGATGCTCCAGTCCCTTAATCATCCTTGTGACCCTTTACTGGTCTCTCCTGAGTATGTCCATGTCTCTCTTGTACTGGGGAGCCCAGAACTGGACACAGCACTCTAGGGGTCACCTCACCGGTGCTGAGTAGAAGGGAGGGATCACCTCCCTTGACCTATTGGCAATGCTTTGCCTAAGGCAGCCCAGGATACCATTGCCCTCTTTGCCCCAGAAGAGCACACTGTTGGCTCATGGTCAACTCGGTGTCTGCCAGGAGCCCCCGGTCCTTTTCTGCAAAGCTGCTTTCCACCTGGACAGATCCCAGCATATACTGGTGCCTGGGGTTGTACCTCCTCAGCTGCAGGACTTTGCACTGCTCCATGTTGAACTTCATGAGATTCCTGTCAGCTCATTTCTCCAGCCTGGAAAGGTCCCTCTGGATAGCAGCACAAGCCTCTGGCGTCTCGGCCACTCCATCTAGTTTGACGTCATCTGCAAACTTGTTGAGGGTACACTCTGTCCGATTGTCCAGATCATCAATGAAGATGCTAAATAGGATTGGACCCAGTACTTGGTACACTGCTAGTTACTAGCCTCCAGTTAGACTTTGTGCCACCTTCTGGGCCTGGCCATTCGGCCAGTTTTCAATCCACCTCACTGTCTGCTCATCCAACCCATATGTTGAATTGGGTCTGCCTGTCCACCCACAGTAAGAAACTTCATTTGCAATTTTTTCTGTCTCATATTTTCTAATCTTGGAGAAAGGGTCACACTTATGCATGATATTAGGAACAGATGAAATAATTCTTACTGCAATGGAAAACAGCATTGGTCCTCGGATGATCCACCAGATTCCCATGTGTTCATTTGTTCCCCAGCACCTGAAGAATAATTTAAAGTATAATCACAGTATTTTCATAGAAAAAAATAGAAAGCTTGTATAATCTGTGTATCTATTTCAAAAAGAAGTTGGCAAAGTTCAACTTTTTCTGGCGGCACTCAGGAGAAATGGAATAAAACTAAGGAAGTTTCTGGTCTCACCAACAACTGTAATTGTATTTACTCTGAAGAACTTTCTACCAGAATGTTGAGAGAGGTTTCCCTGGACCGCAAACTTCAGAACTACCTGGCAAACTCTGTCTTTGGATCCACACAACAACTGTACATGGCACCAAACCTTCATAACAGAATTCATCCTACTCAAATTTATCTATCTGAAACTGTAAACTGGAAATGGGTAAACTACGAATTGTGACCATGCTTCTTGACTTGCTAAAAAGTATACATACTGTTTCCTTGAAGCTATCTCATTTTCTCCTGCTCTAACCTTCTAATTTGTCCTATTTACATGTTCCTTCTTTCAATTAGCCTGAAAGTCTGTAGGATCTTAGCTTGTTATTTGCAGTCTATATAACATCTAACTCTATGAGACTGCAATTGTGACTTGATTCCTGATGTTGTTGCTTAATAACTGTATTGGTGTTCCAAATAAAACTCTCAAGAATAAAAAAGGAGAACAAAAGAAATCATGCATAAACCTCAAAATTTATGTGATGCCTTTAACAGTATCATTGAAGACCAGAAGACTGGAAAACTGATGCTTACTAGTGCAAGTTACTCTTACTGATTCATTCACTGAACATGGAACACATTAATTTAATATCAGCTTTTAGTGAATATCAATTTTTGTCACTATTCTCCATAACAATTTTTTTTTCAAAATTGCAGTGAATACTAGTTAAACTCAAAGTGTAGATGGTCTCTAAGGAAAGCACTGGTCTCCTTTTCTTACTAACAAGATGCTCTCTATGAAGATGGTTGTGCTGACAATTTGCTTCATGTAAGTTGATGAACATTGGATGTAATAGCTTTCATTTCAGGAACAGTGAATGTTCATTCTCCTTCTTGATTTATGCATAAATAAATCTGAGAATCCCTAGAAGTAGTCTAATATAAAAGTACTAAAATGAACCTAGAAAATGTAACAAGTATTAATACGTGTTGTACAATCTTCATATGATCTAGTAGTCAATAGTTGTGTCAATTACTGTCAAGGACTTCCAGAAAAATTAAGCAAACAGAAAACCTGTTTTCTAAGGTACATTTTGTTTAGTAACCTACCCTGTGTTCTCCAGTTTTGATCTGGTTATTCCCCAAGGGCCTACAAACAGGATAGGAACAACTGAAAAGAGAAGGAGTCAATTACAGCCAAGCTTACAGAATGGTTCATACAAAACAGATACGTTACAGTAGCGTGTGGTACAAAGACATATGCTTTTCAGTCTTCTATTTAGAACTGTACAAAAATCAACCTGATCCTGGCTTTCGTCATTTGTAGTTCAAATACAAAATAAAATTTAATTGTATAGTTCAATCTTGCATTTTCAGATACACTTACACTGCTGACCCATTCAAATCTTCCAAATTCCTGACCCTGAGAATTTAAAATAATTGGCACTTGCAGTCTCACAGGCTACCTAAGGCACCAGCTGTTAACATTTTTATTTGTTGAACCTTGAAGAGTTTTCACTGGAGGCATGGAACCCTGTCTAGTTAATTAAAACAACTGACAAATGCTTGTTTTCCCGGCTTACCTTTCCTGGACCCCTTAAAGATAATCCATGGTCCCCATTCTCCTATTGTTGCCCCCCCCACCCCACCCCCGAAAAAAAAAACAAACTGAAATAAAGAATTAATACACTATTCCAGTGGTCTACAAATGTGCAGGCACAAGCTTCAATCACAAGTACAAGGTACATGAGCTACAAAAGGCAGGTGTTTGATTGGATTCTCAGCCCAATAATACATAGGAGATTTTCTGGTGGATGTGGCAGAAAGAAAAGGAGATGTGGATCTCTAGGGCTGGAACAGGATCTATTCAGGATTCTGGGACAATAGCTAAGGTCATGGGGAGACCTGGAGTGTAGTGATACAGGGAAAGGGTCAGAATCAAAATACTCTGAGAGATAATAGACCTCTGAGTGGGTAAAATGGGGAAAGAAATAGAAAGGATCTCACATAGGTGGGAGATGGCGTTGGTGCAGAAGTGGGTCTGAGAGAACAGAGCACAGATCATTTGGGAAGGGAGCTACATGTCCAGGGGAATACGAGGTTGTCCCGTGAGAAAAGATAATACCCGGGAGGCTGAAGTGATGTTATCAAGTGCAGTTCCTGGACAGGAGCTGAGGAAGTGTGTTTCACTAGGTGTAAGCATGGTTCACCTCTGTTGGCTCAGTAGCAGCAGTACTTCAAATGTCTGTGAGACAGGTGCCAGATGTCCCATCTTAGTAGTAATTATAATAAATATGAATAAGGAATTAAGCTAATTAGTGGGAAAAGACCTTTAGGAAATCAGAGAAAATGATACAGGCATGAGAGCAATGGAGGAAGACCAACAAGGAGATGATCATTACTATTTATACTCTTATAGTACAAAGCAAATTTCTTGGCAGACTTGTCCTATTACAGTTTGAGCAAGGAATAAAATGATTAGTCCCTGTTCCAACGAGTTGGTGATCAAAGCAACAAATGGGTTTACAGAGGTGGGAAGAGTGAGGAAGTAATGAGACAACACTAACAAGCATGAAAGACAGTGGTCTTGGAATGTCGGCAGCGTGTATGCTAATACAGTCATATTAATATAACACAAGGGATCTTTAAAGAGAAATGTGAGAGAGAAAATAGAAACCAAGGCATGGATGGTGAGATGGACCCTCTAAAGTGTAAGGAGCACCAGAGGGGGAAGACCAGAAGCTTGGTAATGGACAATGAAATGTGGTGTTATGCTTTGACAGAAACTTTTAATAGATGAGGAAGGGTGGGAATGAGTGTGAAAATGAAGGAAAGTAGTTAATATCTGATGACGAAGAAGCAAAAGATGAAAAAGAGGATGTCAAAAATTGGATAGCAGGTTCAAAACTGCCAGACTGAAAAATAATCTTCACAGCAGCATAGTGGATGAATACAGGTAAGGCCAGAGAAAAGGATGCTGTAGGAAATAAGACAAGTTCCAATGTGACTATATCTAGAGATATATGAAAGGATTAAGGTAATATCTCACTTCTCTTAAACATTGAAATAATTCACTTTTCAAAGATACTTGTCTTCTTCCTTTTTTATTGTTCTCTGGTAATAAGAGTCACAATGCACAGTGAAGCAATCTGTTGTACTGACATCTTCAAAACAATGCATAGAATACTATCTCATGCATATTCAAAACCTAGTTCAAGTGCTGTAAGAGACAAAAGTCAGGTATCTTTTAATCTTGTCTGTAGTAGTAAACATGAACCATTTCTATAAAAGAGACGTAAGTTTTCTGGGGTATTTAATGGGTCTTTATTCTTTCAGACCGGATAGTTTTGCCCTAAATTAAGTTATCTTGTATACTTCAACAGGGTTTTATATCATCTTTTGAAACTTTTTGCTCAGGTTTCCCCATGTGGTATTTTAGATGCTGACGTCCTGTTTGGGATCTTGCTTTAAGCACCAGCATTTTTCTACAGTAATGGTTCTTTGTTAATAAATTAATACAATCACATTAGAAATTCATGAAAAATAGCCTTATCTGAAATTCACTTAATTCTAGGAATTTCTCCAGTAGGCTCTTTTTTAGATGCTACCCAATTCCCATTTCAAAATTCAAGAGGTAAGGTAGATGTCAAAGAGAAGTGAACTGTCTTCATTCCCTGTGACTGTTACAGAGAGAGCCTAGTACAACTTTTAAGCAGCTGAAACTGAATGACATGAATTACTGTCAAGGAACTTGCCACAGCCTTGACAAAAATAACCAAAAATTTCCTTTAAACATGTAAATGCAGCATTCCAACTGTAATGATTGGAATTTCAGTCTTAGTTGCCATTTGCTTCAGCTATTTATATTTTGAGTTTAAACAGCTCTCTAAAATCATACCTCTTTATCCTTAATAGATAATTTTAGCAAGCAGTACAGCACCGCAAATATGGAATAATTCATTTACAACTATGTAACCATTCACTACAATAAAATCTTTCTAAAAATCACTTTTCATTTTTTTAAAGTGGGCTATGCACTATAATCCCACATTCCTGGATACACAATAGTACATTTGATAATATAGCTCAATAGACATAGATGTGGTGATAGTGAACCAGCTTGTAAAACCATACATTGACAGAAGTTTTACAATCAGAAGTTCTTATGGCTATCCATCCTATCCTTCTCCTTAACTCAGGCCACTGTATTCGAATCAATAGCTCTTGCAACAAACCTACATACTGTCTAAGAGTACATTTTTTATTTTCATTTAAAAACTTCAAAGGCCTGCAAGTTGTACAAGTAGATTTTAGATTATTATCGGGAAGGGGGAAACCTTGATTTTCTCCTTTGTCTAGGCAAGATACAGAATAAGCAACAAATGCAGCTGTCAGATTACTTGACATAATTTACACAAAATTGTTCAAATGCTTTTAACTAACTTTATATTGTCTTTGTTCCATGAAAAATGCCTGAAATATAAGACTTGAATCATGCAGTGTTTCAGATTGCTCTCTAACTTAAAGCACACTTTAGAAACTTAAGGTGAGCTAGGAAGGTGAATATATAAAAGAAAACTGTTAATGTTTAGATATCTTTGCTACGTAGGTGTTCTATTACAAAAGAAGAAAATGAAGTTGCTGACAGAACCATAATATTCAGTGATGACAGAAAATACAGCCAAATATAGTCAAATTTCTTCTTGTTCTGTCCAGTAGGCTACTGTTTTCTTATGAAACAATTCACCCATTTCCTGTATCTGCAGGTCAAGTTGAACGGCAATGAATGTATCACTGTTGATATACCTTTATTGACAGTCACTGACCTCAAAATAAACAAACAAAAAAGAGTTCAGATTTTTTCCTTCTTCATTACAAAGTATCCACCACTAACTCAAAGAAGTACCACAGAATCTAGAAACTGGAAATCATTATGTACTTACCCCATCCTATCACAATATACATCTGTAGCAGTCGTCTTTCAGAGAGTACAACAGTTATCAATAACGTATGCAGATAAATTCCTTCTACTAATAGCCAAAAATAATTTGCCCCAACAAAGTAATGCATGAAAAACTGGGCAGTTCTGCAAATGATTACAATCTGTAGAAATGAGAGACCAGAAATCATAGTTAATATATAAAAGCTCTGATATATCCTGGACTTGTTACTTTAGCAACCATTTCAAAACTAGAACATGGTTGTGATATAACTGTGGATCAGTTACATATCTCACAAGACTCTCCTTGTTGCTTGGGAGAAGCTGGAGGGGAATGCAACAATTTAAAGTCTTCTACATTGTCAGAGAGTTACAGTGAAAATGACAAGTAGGAAAGACAGTGACAGTAGGCTGGAGTATGTGTGCTTTGTCATGATCTGTATATCAGAAATTTTACTGATGAACTATTAAAATAATAGTCACCATTAACATCTTTTGCTTGTTGGCATTGGCAAACTACATTCACGCATCATACAAGTATAATTTATGTACAGTGGTCGCAAATGAGAGATGTTGTTATTCCATTATCTAAAAAAGTGTAAGAAAATCAGCACATTTTTGTAGTACAGAAAAGCCTTTAAACTATTTTTTTCTCTGTTAGTGTTCTTTCACAGCAAATACATTGTTTGATAACATTGTCTTAAAAGCAAAATTTGTGTGCATTGCATTGTGCTATGCATACCAAGAGTGAATAAATCTAGTGTTATAGATGTACCAAATAAATGTTTAGATTTCTTCCTAAAAACTACAGGTGTAAGTGGTTTTGCTTAATTGGATGTTTCTAAATGCAACTATTAATTAGTTGTTTTTATACAAGGCTTCATATCAAATCAATCTGTTACAATTTATCAAATCAGAATTTTTTTCTTGATTACCCCAAGCTTTATCAGTAAAATGTCAGCATTCAAACCTCAACTAACAAACACCTCGAAACTTGCTTGCCATATGGCAAACTTCTGAAACTGTAACTGTTACTGCCACTAGCAGCACACATTTACTATTAACAATGAACTAACAAGTTACCTCAGGACTGAGGTACAACATCCATCCAGTTTCATCATTTGGCCTTTTGGAGTAAATATTGTAGTATACAGTGTCTTTTATAAGAACTGCTGTGGCACGCAAGATAAAAGATACAAATAAGTTCATATGGATGTAGTTTCTTGTGCAGTGAAGTTTTCTGTAGGAGAAAAAATAATGTATGAATCCTCTGGAATATATTCAATTTGCAGAAATTTAAAAAAATATTTTTGTATTCATATTGTTGTCATAAATGAATTTTGCTTAGGAATTGCTTTTATAATGCTTATTAGGAAAAGACAAGTTATTTACGTTGGCAGCTAAGCAATAAATTTAATTACTTGAAAAGAAAAATGTGCAGAGTGGGGTCTGTACTTTTAAAATACATGTAAATTTGCACTAACCTGAGTAAAGAAAGTATAAGGAGAGCCAATACAAGTGAGATGAGAGAAAAATAATATCCTATAGTGTACAACAGCTGTAATATGGTAAGTAATTTATGTTCTTCTTCCTAGGAACAAAGAGGAAAAATGTGTTATATATGCAGGCAGATGGGCAGAGCATGAATACAGCTCAGAAATTTTTCAGTCCAACTTCTTGGTGTTGCAAGGTAGCCAGGGGAAGTTTCTGGTGCCTGCTCCCTGCACTGCCTCATGAAATCATTGCATGACAGAGACACTTGCAGAGAGCCATAGTTTCTTTTTAAATTCGAATGTAGTCACAGTTCCATTTCCAGATTGCTCCTGCACAAACACCATTTGTTATCTGATTTACAGCTAATCATTGCCCTGGTTACATGCACCAAATGGATCCTGGTGGTTTAATAACTGCAGAGATCAACCCACTCAAGCTGTACACACAAGTGAAATTACTATGCATGTGCCCTGGGGACACGGTTACAGTTGTGTCCGCACAATTTTGAGAGTCAGCTCTGTCTAGAGTCATTGAAATAGACTGATTTCTACCATGAGTTCAAAGAAAAAGATCAAAATTATTAAATTAGAGTTGTCTAGAATGTCTTTGAATAACAAATAAGACCTCAGAGGGGGAAGCGGGGCAGTCACGCTTTCTTTCCACTTTGCGTCATTTAGCATTTCTCCTCGCTAAGTTTTTCCATTTAGCTCCTTATGTCTACTTCTCATCTCTTCACATTGCTTTTCTAGCTCAAGAAGGGCTTCTCTGCAGAGAGGACATAGAGATACAGGATGTGACTTTCATAATCCATATTGACCTGCAAAGATTTTCTTGGAACCTGTGTCTTTTCCTGGGTGATTTTGCTCTTTTCTTCGTGAATTGTCTTGCTGCTCAGCATCAGGGATTTTAGCTCTGTCTTCCTGCCTGTAGTTGTTTCTAATCAAATTATGCTAATGACTACTATCTGGATAGTGAGGGTGAGCTGTGCCTGCTCTCTTGTAAGAGCTGTGGAACTCTCTTGGAGGGGGTGAAAGTGCCCAGGGAGAGCAGCATGAGTGCAGGAGATGCGCATAGCACAGCTATTAGTCACTCTGCTCCATGAAAACATTCAAACAGGCACAAACCTAATAAAAAGCATGAGTTATCATCTTGGCTGTTACAATTTTGCAACATCAAAGCAAATGAAATCAAGCTGATTCCTGCAATGTGTGGAGATACGAGCTCTGGGTTATTTCTAACATCTTGGGGCTTTCCACTAAATACAACAAACAGGTACAAAACCACATTTAGGGTTGGTAGAAAAGCTGCTTACAGCGTTTAGAGAAATTGTCTACTGTCACACAAGATGAATTAATGTGTCTCCCACCCACAAGTTTGCAATCCAGAATGGTCAACAAAATGGAAAACTCTCAGTACTTACAAATATTTATCACACTTATATAAATAAACTGTAAGGCTGGAAGTTCATGTACTCGCTATATAAAGAGTTTAGTAAAAACTTAGTAATACATGGGGATCCTGAACTAATAGTGTTTAATAAAGTAATCAATAAAATAACGTTACTCAATAAAGTAATAAACAGTAGCAGTGCTCACCCAATAACGTACTAAAAATAATCAACAGTAATAGTGCTTACCCAAGAGACTTAATTCTGACATCAGCTAATCTGAGCTGTATGGCAAAAGAAGTTACAAGAAACTGAAATCTGGTAAACTGCGTGCTTTACTGTTGTCTGAAACTCCGTTGCATTCGTTGCAAGTCATTGCTCAGTTCTGCAAGTAGGCAACAGGATCAGATCCCTGTTTCACTGCTTGACCTGTCCTTTCCCTTAAACCTAACTCGGGAGGTGGAAGTGAGCTTGCTTGGTTGCAAACTGCATGGCAAACGAGCCAGGCTTCTTTGTAGGTACAGAGCAAGAGTGTGATTTCCAGCTTCACAAACTAGAGCTGATAGTAATTGTTTTCATTTTATTTTCAGTACAAAGAGCTGAGTGGTATCAAGGTAAGAGTATCTGGTTTGCTCTTTATTCAGGTCAGAAGTGCCATTCCCCTCTGCTGACAAAGCACAACGCAGTATCAGACTGGGAAGAATGACATGATGAATCCTCCAGTCTGTGACTAGCTAAATTTGAAAGGACCAGTTAACGGCTCATTAAATGTTAAAAGGTTCAGGAAGTGACAGGGAATGAAGTTGTCTGGCCTTGGCAGACTACAGCGATTTAGGGCAGATGATGGGATGCTTTGAATTTAAATTACTTGCTTGTCAAGCTGCAGTCTTTTTTATTAGGAGAAATTCAGTACATGAGAACACTGAACTCTGCACAGAAAATAATTTGTGGCATCTAAAGCAG